GCAGCAGAGTGACTAAAATCGTCATTTCGGTACTTAAAAAGATGAATTCTTTAACATTATAGAGCGGATTCTTTAAGTTAAAGGATTAATCTATCATTCCAGCTAAATTTCAAGTAAAATAAATGAGAATTGGGTGCAGACATTTAACATTGAAAATCAGGCTTTTTACCGTACTTTCAGTATGGAAAACGACCTTTGTCCAAGTAAATCATCGAATTTCTTCAAAAATAATCAGAAATCTTCATATTATAGAGCGGATTATTTAAGACAAAGGCCATACCTACACGTGGATAGCTTTTCGCGAAAATTTGACCCGATTAATTTGCAGACTTTTAATTCTGAAAATATGAAGTTTAAAGTTAACGGGCAGTCGGAGAGAAGTCATTGTCTTAGTTGAAACAATGGTTGCCATGAAAAAACAATACGGGGTCGCTTTGAACAGCAGACAACATTGAGAAGCCCGTCGCGCGCAAAATTTAAAGAAATCAGAGCACTTTCGGCTTGCGTTTGCTACTCCAACAAAATTGTTTTCAAGATATCTATTTCACGCTTGACTACATAGTTATACAGTTTCGGTTATGTTATAAGCTTATCTAGGTTCAGATTGGTTATTGGCGGTTTCATCCGCGCGAATATGACCATTTTCGACTCTGTTTTCGACTGAAAATTTAGATAGAGCCTACAATTCTCTTTATAGAGCGCTGCACAACTTTTGAATAAATATTTCTTGCTATCGTTAGTCTATTTTAAACGTCCCTCTTTTTTTGACTTCAATCTCTTTATTGCCCGTCCGACGGGTGTATTCAGGAGACTAAGACCCTGTTTACATGGAGTGGGGGACCCCGGTCTAGTGGGGTAAGTTTCTTTTGTTTTGTGTCCTCCAGAGCGTGAAAACAAAAGAAACCAACCCCACTAGACCGGGGTCCCCCACTCCATGTAAACAGGCCCTAACTTCCGATGCGAAAGGGCTGATTCTAAACTTCGCACTGATCACTCTAGTTGTGCCTTATCTTCGTTCACATGTAATTTATTAAAGGCAAACTGACTTCTTTTTTGACTCCACTTTTTCTCTACCGCCGTCTTGCTTGTAGAGTGATCAGTTAGAGCTCCATCAAAACTCTAGTGCGTGGAAACGAAACTAAAATTTTCGACTCATCTTTAAGTGAGTTATCTGTAAGGAGTAATTAAAATGCGTAAAGGTGTGATCTGGCCTCACAAAAGGGAAAACAATAGAGAGATTGGGCTATGGTTAGTTTCACCCGCCTACTCCTTGCCTACTCCACGATGAAGAGTACTNTGTTTACATGGAGTGGGGGACCCCGGTCTAGTGGGGTAAGTTTCTTTTGTTTTGTGTCCTCCAGAGCGTGAAAACAAAAGAAACCAACCCCACTAGACCGGGGTCCCCCACTCCATGTAAACAGGCCCTAACTTCCGATGCGAAAGGGCTGATTCTAAACTTCGCACTGATCACTCTAGTTGTGCCTTATCTTCGTTCACATGTAATTTATTAAAGGCAAACTGACTTCTTTTTTGACTCCACTTTTTCTCTACCGCCGTCTTGCTTGTAGAGTGATCAGTTAGAGCTCCATCAAAACTCTAGTGCGTGGAAACGAAACTAAAATTTTCGACTCATCTTTAAGTGAGTTATCTGTAAGGAGTAATTAAAATGCGTAAAGGTGTGATCTGGCCTCACAAAAGGGAAAACAATAGAGAGATTGGGCTATGGTTAGTTTCACCCGCCTACTCCTTGCCTACTCCACGATGAAGAGTACTGCCGCGCGTTCATAGTAACCAATGAAAAAGACTCTTTCCTGTTCAACATTTTAGAATAACAATAAGTGATATGACAGACCTAGAAGCTTTCACCGACTGTAAGTAAATGTCCCGAGAACAATGGCCATTTCTCCCGATGCGTCCTCTATCGCAAAACGGTGAAGAACCCTTTGTAAATTTATTTGTATAAAGGTGTTTACAATAGGTGCCGTATTACCTCATGAAAATACAAACCTAGAAGAATCGGTAGTTTCTTTGTTTGAATTTTGGTGACGTTACGTGAATTCCGAGAATTGGACGGACATTGCCCTATGCTTTCAATGTGTACTCCCTTCTAAAGTTAGCCCAATCAAAATGACCGTCTCGGTTGGGCCATTCAGTAGAGTATCGAGCCAAACTCCCCAACTATGTTAATGCTCGTCACATCGAACTGGAAAGTAATCAAAATAGTTTTCGTTAGAGTTCCCACATTTCAAATCAAATCAAATCAAATCAATTATTTATTGTGTAAGATTATACATAAAAGGAAACGTCAGAGGTTATCCCTATCGACGACGCTCCCTACATAAAATATAAAATAAATATATTACAATGTAAAATTTAATAATAACTAAGAAATGGCTAAAAAAATTTACAAAATTTCACAATACTTTCTAAGTTTACTTCGAAAAATGCTGAAATCCTGTTCGTGCACTATCTCTTTAGGAAGAGCGTTCCACTGTTTAAGAATTCTAACAAAGAATGAGTGCAAAAAATCAATTAACTCTAGCTAATGGCTGTCTTAAATTGAATGAATGGTTTGATCTTGTTTTACCATAAGAAATAAATTCAAAATAATCATTACAGTTACGGCCATTAAGACATGAATAGTCTTGTAGCACCCTAGCAAACATAGATAAGACCTATTTCAGACCTAATCAAAAATTTGATACCCTATTTCAGAACTGAAGCCCTGGAGCCGGCGCGTGACCAGAGCGCGTGACAAGCTGTTACGGCACGTACACGGTTGGCGTAAACATTAAAAGGGAAATGGTCCTATCGCCAAATGATGAAGAAGTAGCTTCTTCTAAAAACATACCCAATTGAAGACTAGAGGGCACAAACCATACCCTATTTCAGACCACAATAGTCGAAATTAATACCCTCATTCAGACCAGAACGGCTAGAAAAACATACCCTTTGGCGCCACACATACCTATATAGCCTAGATAAGGGAGGTCCCCCCCGGGTGAAAAATGCGTTGCATATTATGAGTCTCGCTGCTTACGCAAGCGAGACTATAATTAGCCTGAGAATTATAAGAGTTTGCATTCATCGGCAAAGATACATTGAAACAGTAATGCGTGTATATAGTCGTGCACCTGACCACTCGTATCTTAACGAAAACTTGTCCCGCAATAAGCTGAGATCAAACTCTACTTTCACTTTCCTGGGTAAATTGATTCCAGGCCGGCCAGGCGAATCGAAAAGTTTCCCATTTAGTAAAGTACTTGTGTACCTCTATCGAACCTGGATTATCGAATGATTGTTGCATCGCTTGCATGCGTATTCACGTGATGACCGTTACATCAGACGAACTTTAAACTCAACACCAGGGCCTTGGCGGCCACATACCTTGCATTTCCCGTTCTGTTGCTAAATCAGCTTATTAGTCGGTACAACACGGGCATCCTAAGAATGTGGACAGATTCGGGAAAGATATCGTTATACAGTTCATACTCAAAAGTTTTGTTACAAACCTCTTCTATACCGTAATTTTTTAACCATTGAAAGTCGATATAGATTAGAATATTTTATTTCAAGCAGTTTTGTAGCTATTGCAATACAATGAAAGCCAAAACAAGTCAGGAGTTCTAGCGAATTTATTCCAGTTATTCTTATTTGGGACGCAGAATACGGTGAATCGAATACGCTCTCAATCTCTTTGAGCAAAGTGTTACATTTAAACTGGTAACTTCAACCAACGATTAGACTTATTTTAGATTTAAAGAAACTTGCATATCATAAATCCTTAAATGCCCCCTCTCTAATAAGCTCTACTTTTCAGGGAAAGAAAATTATCAAACCCCCTCCCCCTTTCTTGCCCCTTCTCTTATAGCCTGCAATCATGCCCTCTCCCTCTATCTCTGTAATCTGTTTTCAGGAGGAGGGCATGATACATTTCTTTCACAGATCACATGCAAAAATGCCAGAATCTGGACTTTTTTCTGGTTGGATAAGAAACAATACGGACGATTTGCGCTGTTCCGATTGGCCAAAACGCCGCCATCCGTTAGTTGTTGTTGATTTCAGTCTGCATTTTTGCTTGCGTAATATTTTAATACACACGCGAGTTCGTTATGAAATTTCTGCCGGCTCAGTTTTCTTGCCAGTTTGAAAAATGTCTAACTAGAAATTTCATCCATTGAAATATTTTCCATTTCATCTTATACTAAAAGTTGCAGTCAAAAATTCACCGATAATTTGAATGCAATTTGATACTGGCTACAAGTTGCAGAAGCGACAAACGTGTTCACTTTTCAAATAATTAATTCATGAATGGAATCTTGACCAGGTTTGACTGTAATTCCTGTCATTGCTCCTTCAGAAACCTACGAATTACTCTGAGCGATCTTCGCCTTCACAACACTTTTTAGTTCGTGAAATATGGTGCTTCAGCCTAATGTTTTTCTCAGAGCTTTCGGCACAGAACGAAGTCAACGAGCTTTTACTAGTAAATTTTTATTATTTGTAGCTGTTAAATAAAGGTACAGCAGCTCCAACTAGCAGTATTTCATCACAAAAAAAAAAATTTAAAAAATTATTCTTAGTAAGCGCCATCTGACCGTACTTAAACAATTCTTTTCCCTAAACTTTATTTCCAATCGAAAGAGACATTATTATTCCCGCCAAAATTTTATTCCCTTCTGGCAAACGCTGATTGGCTAATAACATGACAGGTCAAGCAGACGTTAGATTATGTAAATTAGGGGGCGGTTGATGGCTTGTTAAATAAATGTATCAGGCGTTATTTTTTTCCCTCTCGAGCCAAGGAAGCAACGAAGCAAAAAAAATAACGCCTGATCTCAGGTTACTTCTCTTAATTCTTATATAATAGACGTAAGATAGATGTGTTAATTTATCACGGATGTTACACTTCATGTGGACTGATCAACCAGTATGTGTCTCCCACTTCTTCGAAATTTTAAGGTGTCTTTCATGGTAGTCTGTTCCTTTAGGAAATCTCCAGCTCTTCCTTCTTCTGCCCTGTCTCCCACTTCTTTTGAAATTTTGAGGTATCGTTCATGGTACTCTATGGCTTCCTGGAAATCTCCAAGACGGTGATAGGCGTTGCCAAGACTACCATACGCTCTTCCTTCTCCTGCCCTGTCTCCCACTTCTTTCGTAATTTTGAGGTGTCGTTCATGGTACTCAATGGCTTTCTGGAAATCTCCAATACTGTAATAGGCGTTGCCAAGACTACCATACGCTCTTCCTTCTCCTGCCCTGTCTCCCACTTCTTTCGTAATTTTAAGGTATCGTTCATGGTACTCTATGGCTTTCCGGAAATCTCCAAGACTGTCATAGGCGTTGCCAAGACTACCACACGCTCTTCCTTCTCCTGGCCTGTCTCCCACTTCTTTCGTAATTTTGAGGTGTCGTTCATGGTACTCAATGGCTTTCTGGAAATCTTTAAGACTTTGATAGGCGATGCCAAGACTACCACACGCTCTTCCTTCTCCTGGCCTGTCTCCCACTTCTTTCGTAATTTTGAGGTGTCGTTCATGGTACTCTATGGCTTTCCGGAAATCTCCAAGACTGTCATAGGCGTTGCCAAGACTACCACACGCTCTTCCTTCTCCTGGCCTGTCTCCCACTTCTTTCGTAATTTTGAGATGTCGTTCATGGTACTCAATGGCTTTCTGGAAATCTTTAAGACTTTGATAGGCGTTGCCAAGACTACCACACGCTCTTCCTTCTCCTGGCCTGTCTCCCACTTCTTTCGTAATTTTGAGATGTCGTTCATGGTACTCAATGGCTTTCTTGAAATCTTTAAGACTTTGATAGGCGATGCCAAGACTTTCATACGCTCTTCCTTCTTCTGCCGTGTCTCCCACTTCTTTTGAAATTTTGAGGTCTCGTTCATGGTACTCAATGGCTTTCTGGAAATCTCCAAGACTCTGATAGGCATTGCCAAGACTACCATACGTTCTTCCTTCTCCTGCCCTGTCTCCCACTTCTTTCGTAATTTTGAGGTGTCGTTCATGGTACTCAATGGCTTTCTGGAACTTTCAAGCCTCTTCTCCCAATTCTTATATAATAGACGTATGATAGATGTGTTAATTTATCACGACTGTTACACTTCATGTGGACTGATCAACCGGTATGTGTCTCCCTTTCTTCGAAATTTTAAGGTGTCGTTCATGGTAGTCTATGCCTTTAGGAAATCTCCCGCTCTCCCTTCTTCTGCCCTGTCTCCCACCTCTTTTGAAATTTTGAGGTATCGTTCATGGTACTCTATAGCTTTCTGGAAATCTTCGAGACTTTGATAGGCGATGCCAAGACTAAGATACGCTCTTCCTTCTTCTGCCGTGTCTCCCACTTCTTTTGAAATTTTGAGGTCTCGTTCATGGTACTCTATAGCTTTCTGGAAATCTCCAAGACTGTGATAGGCGTTGCCAAGACTACCATACGCTCTTCCTTCTCCTGGCCTGTCTCCCACTTCTTTCGTAATTTTGAGGTGTTGTTCATGGTACTCTATGGCTTTCTGGAAATCTCCAAGATTGCTATAGGCGATGCCAAGACTACCATACGCTCTTCCTTCTTCTGCCGTGTCTCCCACTTCTTTTGAAATTCTGACTTCTCGTTCATGGTACTCTATGGCTTTCTGGAAATCTCCAAGACTCTGATAGGCATTGCCAAGACTACCATACGCTCTTCCTTCTCCTGCCCTGTCTCCCACTTCTTTCGTAATTTTGAGGTGTCGTTCATGGTACTCAATGGCTTTCTGGAAATCTCCAATACTGTAATAGGCGGAGCCAAGATTTCTGTACGCTCTTGCTTCTCCTGCCCTGTCTCCCACTTCTTTAGTAATTTTGAGGTGTCGTTCATGGTACTCAATGGCTTTCTTGAAATCTCTAGCACTGTAATAGGCGTAGCCAAGACTACTGTACGCATTTCCTTTTCTTGCCCTGTCTCCCACTTCTTTCGAAATTTTGACTTGTCGCTCATGATACTCTATGGCTTTCTTTTCTCTCTGCTGGCTTTGGTATTCCAGCTCTCCTGAAAAAAAGGTATAAATATGTTGTGGTTTCATTTTATCGTTGAGACAATTTATATTCATTAGTTGGTGTATCTTTGTTAGTGCCATACAATTAGTTGGATCAGTAGTAAATGTACACTAGGGGAATTCGTTTGACAGAGAGAGGTGATAAGGCCAGGAACGGGAAGAGTGTCGAAGAAGAGGCAAGAATGAACTAGAGAACTTAAGATCGAGGTTTAGCCATTTTACTGCAAACAACAAACTGTGGTTTGCGGTTAATGGTTTCACGTTACTCGTCTGCCCATATTTGGGATTTGAGATTCGCGGGTGGTAGCTCGCGGCTGCCATATTTGTTTTCATTCATCCACTTATTTCTATTTTGGCTGAGAAATTGTCTTCAAAATTACCGCCGTCTTTTAAAAAATAGAATTCGATAATCAATAAGCAAGAGCTCTTAAAGTTGGTATTTTTTCCCAAACGTGGGATTGTGATGTTTTAGGGTGCAAAACACCTTGTGGTAAATCACTTACCTCTGAAGCGCGGTCTAGCCGTACAAACGTGAACCTCAAACCGAAATTTTGACGACAAGGCACTGGTTACGTGATTTCTGGACGCAAATCGCTGCAAATGCCGAAAAACCTGAATCGTAAGGTCTCTACTGTTGAAGCGTATACTTGGGCTTCGTTGCGTTAGAGGTGTATTGTTAAGAACGTTGAAAACATTCGTGACTGCTATTTAAGGTGTTTTATTGTTGTAGCCTCGTTTTGATTGGCTAGGAATAAATAAGTATCGGGAGCACTTTTGACTCTGTTGTTTTTCGGCTTTCTACTACTCCTTACTTGCACTCGTAGATAGGATTGTGGACATTAAACTTGTTGAGATTTTGTCATTTATTTGGTGTGCACTGGATTTCTTTTTCCACACTAAAAGTGGCGACCCTGCCAGGACTGCTTGTTAAGCGAACTTTGTGGGGCACAAACATGGAATGTCTGAAGACTCAAGAAAATACTTCTGACTGCGAAGCATGGTGGAGTTTGCTAAAGAAAATTACAAGAAGCAATTAAAAAGGGCAACGTACAACGTTGGAGAAATTGCGGAAAAACTAAACGCTGAAGGAGCGGAGAATTTGCGTTTAGCGTACGAGAGAATATGTGACATAAACAAGGTACTCGAGTATTCAGCGAACCAAGTGAAAGACGCCATGTTGGATGCGTAGAAGAGTTTGACGAGGTAAGATAGTGGTCAGACACGTGTAAACAAGATTTTATTCCTGTGCGAAACCTAAGAGATAAACTGAAATTAAAAAACAAAAACAAAAACAAGAAATATAGTCCGGGAGCGAGGGACGTTTTGTGCAACCCAGGAGACAGAAAAGTTTTGACGATAAATTTTGATAGATTAAAGCACCCTCGTTTTCGCTAGATAGTTTGTGGTCTCAAATTGTGGTATAAATGTACAGTTGTAGCTGTATTTTAACAGTCGTTAACAGTGAAAATGAATTTAACATGAAAGCGAGGCTAAAGGTTGAAACCAAATAAGTTCCAAGAAACGCACTGCACAAGAAAACCAACATGCTTAGACATCTCGTAAACCTTGGCGGTTAATTAAAGAGCTTCAGTATCGACAAAAAAATCAACTAGATTGTCCCAAATCAAAATAGGAAATGAAATTTTTACCTCACCTGGTGATATAGCTGAAGCATTTAATAACCATTTTACAAATTTTGGCCAATCGCTAGCTCGAGGAATTCCCATTGTAGACACTGATCCCCTTTCCTATGCAAATCCTGTCAACGGAGTATTTTCTTCCCAACGGATCAATGTTCAAAAAGTCATCAAATTACTTAAAGCTATCGATGCTGGCAAACTACTAAACATTGCAGCCGAAGTGGTTGCGCCCTCTTTAACAGGCGTTTTTACTCAATTCATTCTGACTACTATTTTCCCCTTTGACTGGAAACTAGCTTAAGTGTCACCTATTTTTAAGAATGGCTCCAAGTCAGACCTAAACAACTACCGGCCAATATATATTGTCCCTGCCGTAGCCAAAAGTTTTGAAAAAATTGTCTATAACCAACTTTACCACTACCTGAACGAAAATGGTTTTTTAAACAACTGTCAGTCTGGTTTTCTCTCGCTACATAATACTCTTACAGCTTTATGAGAGACAAATGATAACTGGTACGTCAATATTGACATAGGTCTTCTTGATGGCGTAATCTTCATTGATTTGAAGAAGGTCTTGGACAGTATTAACCATGAGATTATTCTGAAAAAAAAAACTAAATACGTCGTTGGCCAAGATGCCTTGAAATGGTGCAAATCTTATGTAACAAACCTGTATGCAAAGATGCATAGCTATGCATTTTAGGTAACTGCCTATCTTGTGAGAGCCCTTTTAACTGTGGCCTACCTCAAGGATCTGTAATAGGCCCCCTTCTCTTTTTGATCTACATAAATGACCTTCCAAACTGTTTGAATACTGGTTCTCCTAGAATTTACATTGAGAACACTAACGTTAGCTTGTCTGTACCTAGCATACCTGATCTCGAATTACAAATCAAGACTGAATTGAAACATTGATCTCTGGCTTAAAGCTAACAAATTAAGTCTCAAAGTCGCCAAAACAGAGTTAATGATTATTAGCTCGAGGCAGAAACTACTATCTTTAAATGACGACACAATAACAATGATATAGATAGCGTTCAAGTAAACCAAACAACTCATAGCAAATCTCTTGGGCTTAATATTGACGATCTATCTTGGAAGGTTCACGTACATGACATCTCAAACAAAAAAGGCTCCTCAAGCATAGGTGCGCTTAAGCGAATCAGGCTATTTGTTTCCGTGCACACTGCAGTTTTAATATACCAAGGTCTCATTGAACCACACTTCGATTACTGTAGTGCTGCCTGGAATGGCTTGTCGCAACATCTAAAAAGTGATAAACTTCATAAACTACAACATCGCGCTGTCAGAGTTATCACTATATCAAGCTGTGACACTAGTTCCAGACAACTTCTTGACTTGCTTGGTTGAGACAACTTATCGATTAGAAACGCTAAGCAATTAAGGCTTACTTGATTAAGTGTACTAATAATCTTGCCCCGGCCTATTTCTGGAATTTGTTTGCTCCGAGAATCTCGAATTACGAACTTCGTGACGCCAAAGGTAAATTGTTACTCCCGAAACCAAGAACTGACTACCTTGAGCGTAGCTTTAGTTACAGTGGTGCTTACTTATGGAACAATCTTCAAACAGTTTTACGATGAGATCCTCATCATTCAAGGCAATGAAAGTACTGTAGTTACTGAATCCATTTGCCGAATATCTCGGTTTGAAACAAGGCTTTCTGCCGACCCTCCTCCCTCCTTTGCGCTAAATCGCTTCCGTATGCCCTCTTTTCCGTTCACTTTCGAGCCAGGAGCCCATGTTCAAGCTTTATCAATAAGAGGACAGCATGCACCAAATGAAATACAATTTTTTTTTGTCAAAAAATTTTTTATATCCTACCTGCGGCAAGATCTGTGGCAGGACTTTCTTGAACTTCGGGAAGTGCCTTTTCTTCCCCTTTACCTAACAAAGATGAAAAAACGCAATTTCTACCTTTACTTAAACTTGGACTCAAATTTGCTCTTCAATATAATTAGTAACAGATGACAAACAGGACATTTGTCCGTAATGCCATTATAGTGCAGTGTTAACACTACCCGAGAGCCCATAACCCGGAGCAAGCAAATTCCATGCGCTCGTGTCACGTTGTTTTTACGGACCAGTTTATTTTTAGAACGGTTTTTCGCGCGAATTTCGAGAGGGCTGTCAATAGTGCCACAAAATCCTTGCCCCCTCCCCCCCCCCTCTCTCCAGAAGCGAAGTGTTTATTGTGGGGGGTATTTTTGTATAACTTAAGTAACTTCTTTGTGTCACAAAAAACGAATAGATGAAACCAATTCATTGTGTAATTTACGTCTAGATTACGTCTTTGTGTGAATGTTCATGGCGAAGTTCCACGCGCGCCCATTGCAAAGAAAATGTGGTGCTCTATCTATCCGAGAAAATTTGGTTAGGACGTCACTGTACGCCCGCCTGCCCGTAGGTCCACTACGATCCATGTAAGCCAATGTCAATGCAAGTGTCACATTAGATCTTGCGCAAATTGACACTAGCCTGTTAGTTATATAAGCAATTCAGTTCAATATTTACTCAATTGTGCGCCTACAACTCAAAATGTTTCAATGGACACGAAAATCGGGCATTTTATAGTACACTGATCAATTGCATCACTAAAATTTTAGTTTAATCGCTGTTTTCGTGAAAGTAGCCGTATAAATTACAAAACGAGCTCAGCATTGCGTTTTACCCCGATTCACATCTTTTCGAAAACGCGCAAGGCAACTGCCGTTTAGCCAAGAGAGGATAAACCTTTATCCTCTCTTGGTTTAGCTCATTTTGGAATGTATAAGGGTAATTTGCAAAACGGATGAGTGGTGAAATCTTTCCGGAAACATCCTAAAAGTCGCAAATTTGTCTGCATATTGATAAAGTCCAGTCTTCAGTTCATGCATGATTTATACCTCTTCTGAAGAAATTCAAGATATCTCGAAATTCCTCTTCGTAATCGCCTATGTTTTTTTTTTGTGATGTAGAAACGCGTGAAGTTGGAATTTTGTCCCGCTACTATTGTCAGACCTGTTAAGTTAATCTGTTTGCGATACGTAAAAGATTCGCAGCTCTAGCGGCCAATTGTTCAAGATTATGTAATTATGTATTTGAGGCTTTTAATTCGAAACGAGGGATAACCACAATAAAAAAGGCGAAATGGAAACAATTTTCTCTCGATTTTTTTTTAGGCGTTAAAAATTAAGTTTTAAAGTCTGTAAGCTCAGACTTATCGAATAAAAATCGAAAAGGACGTGTGCGTTAATCTGGTTAATTCTTTGCAATTGATATAAGCTTACACTTCTCAGTAAAGACGGTTTTTTGCATCAGCGATTGTGCCTTCATAATTCCATCGTAATTGACACATGATCTTGAATTATGAAATTATGATGGTTACATCCCGAGACCTTCACTCAACTAAGCAGAAACTACCATTGGTTGATTTTTGGTATGTGGCCTTGACTAAATTCAAATCGGTATCCCGATCGTACATGCAATTCAGCAATTGTACCTTGCTTGGGATACAACAGCTCGTGATATAGCAGACACAGCAGGTATAGTGGAGGACAAAGATGCAGTTAGTATATGGAAAATACTCAATTTGTGAATCAATCATTAAGCAGTTTTCAGAATTAATGTTTTTGTTTTGATTCGTTCTATATTCTTTGTCACTGTTGAAGTGAAAGGCTACGAATATAACATGAAAACACTTTATGTCATGTCCCTACTGAAACAATTTTTTTTGAAGTTTTGTTTTCCGTGGAGCCCACGTCCATAGAAACATCAGGACTCTCGGGTAAACGTAACTAACTGTCTCCCTCAGGACCTGACATCACGCGTACATTTCCTCTTACAGCGGCATGTTAAGGTGAAAAATAAGGGTCTTATTACCACAGATTATTTTTTACAAAGCTATTCGTTTTAATCGTGATTACCAACAGCAATGTCGGTTTTAGAGGTTTTACATTTGCCCGCATTAGGTAATGCGTCTCAATGTTGGATTATTGTAGCTTATTTCAGTACTGTATGAATGCGTACCTATCTCATCATTACCTGATCTGTTTTTCAAAAACTCTTTGTATGACAAGTAGTCTTCCTCTGAAATAATGGTTCTCAGTTTTACCTCACTGAGTTCAAGCTTTTCCAGAACCTCTCCCGTTACAAGCGTATCTTGAACCACTTCGTTAAGACGGCCTGTTCGATATTCGTTCCACAATGCCTCAAGAACTTCTAAAGAACTGCAGGACACTGTCATGACAAAGCTTCCTAGTCTGCAGCTTTGAACGTCAACTCCAAACTTTATTTTCAGGTATCTGATCAAGAGTTCTAATGGCCTTTTGAATGAAAAAACAACATACCAGAAATCAAGAACTACTGGAGTGTTTTGTTGACTTGCTTGCAGTGCCGATAGTGTGGATAGACCAGCAGGACCTTCTGCTGATGACTGCTCTGGGGGTATAGGTATTCGTGTCTCCAGACGTTCAAATGGCAATTGGTCGCCTTCCATTCGTGCGGATGGACTGACAGCTGACGCACTTGCCTTAAGACCTTTCAGGGCAATTAGAATTTCCATGTGTCTTTGTTCTTGTTCACTTTTCATTTGCTCTTGTATAAGTTTTTGTTCAATTTGCATCTGCTGTAGTTGCTTTTGAATCAGTTCTTGTGTAATACGCATCTTTTCGATCTCGTCTTTTGTCTCCATACCCTTTTTGTGCCATAATCGAAGTTCATCAACACATTCCTCTGCGTCTGGTGTTAATGGTTCAAGGAAAAACTTTTCGATGGACTTCCTCCACTCATCTCTCTTTGCACTACTTATGCTGCTAGCAATTCTTAATAGTGCCTCACTAATTTCCATCCAAAGCTTCTCAAAATCGGCATTTGTTATCTCCATGCTGTGGTTGTGACCATAAATTTTGTTACGGTAAAATTTAATTCTAACTAAGTCTGCCTCAAGGCTGTGATCAGTGCTGTTAGGCAAAATGTCCCATCCGGTAGCAGGAGGAGTAAGGCTGCATATTGCTCGAAGCAATTTACAAAGTAAGCTGATATCAAAATCGGTCGATTTTCCATACGTCCCTGGCCCACTTGGGTTGTAAAGGCAGTTCCATTCGGGGTGGGTAAGGACTCTGTTTCTTCTAAGAGTTTGGAGCTGCGTCTTTATTACAGGGTTACTAAGCGCAGCTGGAAGGTTGGGTGGGGGATGGATACTGTCAAACACCTCCTTTAAAAGTGCGAGACCTCCACGCATCAGAAGCCGTGTCAATCGCTGAAAATTTGCTTTTTCATCTGTTGCACGTAACGCTTCAAATGCCGCTGATAGTGATGTACCTGTAGCCATTTCTATGCCAATATCATTGGTGAGACTAAAGAAAAAGTGACAGAAATCACAATGTTACTTAAACTGAGAAAGGAGGGGTGGGTGGAAAGTTTACCAGCATACTAGTCTAAGCCCAAGTCAATTAATTGGAAACCCCGGGTAGAAACGGGATCGAGAATTGAAGTTAGCTTAGTAAAACTAATTAACTTCTAAAAGGAAACTGTCAATACATAAAATAATACGTCTTGCACCTGAGTACAAAATTTTACTGAAAATGCATGTTATGGGTTTTTTGGGTCGACTATCGCTCAACTCGGAGTAGTGAGAACACTTCCATAGAGTATCGCTTTAAGGAATTCTGAAAGCTGACATCTACAGCAATGCCAATAAATGAACAAACGGAACGTTTATTGAATGATTGGAACCTGCTTAAAAAATTGGTAGCAGTCTTGTTTAATCTTTCCACAAACCTAAGAGCTTTGGATAATGTTAACGACGAAAATTGGAACAAAACCAGGTAGTTTCCAGAGGATAGACTGTGAATTCCATCCTTGCAGTCAATTTTCTATTTGATGGTGAGGTTCTGCTGTTTGCCATAAAAACACTTAGGAGATCCACCCGCCCTCATTGCCAGCATTTTTTGGCCTAATACAAATTTAATGTTATTCATTACATTATTCATAACACAAATTCAGCAATAAGGTATTCTAAAGCCCCGTGCAAACCGACGCAACATTGTTGGATGTTACATGTTGCGTCCGTTTGCACACCCTGTTGCATGTTGTTGCGTGTTGTTGCGCAAAGTTTGAAACCGGTCAAACTTTTCAGCCAACAACTCCCAACATTTCTTTTGTTCCGTGATCGCCGAAGCGTAGCGCAACAATGTTGGATCCGCTTGCACAGCTCTTCCAACATTGTTGGGGCCACGCACGCTCATTACGCATGGATTACAAAGACTTATGGCTTGTATTCTTCCCACGATGCACTGCAGGTCCCAACATTAATTGTTGGGAGTTGTTGCATCCGTTTGCACACTGCCAACACGCACGCAACAACTCCCAACATTGTTGGCGCAACAATGCTGGGAGTTGTTGCGCCCGTTTGCACGCAGCCTAACTCTTTTTTTTAGAGCGGGTGAAGGGGGGGGGGGGGAATCAGTGCTTTCTTTTTTTCTTTTTTTTTTTTGCATGTGCAGTCTTCCTAGTTTTTTAAACAAAAACACGGGGGGATTTTAAAAAGGGGGTTTTTTAAGGATGGCAAAAGGCCAAAAGGCATAACCTGAGCAATTTCTTCGCTTCTTTTCTGCCCAAAAATGGCTGCATTTCAGGCTTAAGCTGTAAAATGGTTTCAATAGTGTAGATAGTGTTCAAATCCTCCATCAAAAATATCCTGCACATGCTCCTGTCTTTTAGGATGACGGGGAGAAATGTGACACAAATGGATATATTATAATTTACTAAAAAATTTTAGTTAATATAGTCAGTTGATAAAAGTGGGTTTTAATCAAAGGACATGCTGTGGGGAAATTATTCTTATCCTGGCCACACATCCTGGTTCATTTAATATGCGGTAATAGGAGGCTCATTGACTCAGAAGGTGTATTTTGTCAATGTGTCTAGAAAAAAAGCCAATGCCATCAATCTCAGAGAGTAACTAGCCAATCTAGTGAGGGATTTAATACCTAAATAAACAAGGATGATCACCAAAAGCTAATGAGGTATTGTTAGGAAAGGTATCAAAAAATACCAAAAAATATTCACGAACGAGAAAATTGAGTGAAAAATTTGGCAAGCCATGCTGAGTAGTCCAGAAAAAAATATTCTTGCCAATTGTCAGAATTATTTTTAAAGTAAAGAAAAAATATTCATGCTCGACATTTTGACAAAAAAAAATCGTGAAAGGAAATTGACAACTCTAACCTTAACCCTAACTCAATAACTTCACACCACCCCCCAATAACTTTTCTAATGATCCGCCTCTAGAATTCAAGGGCGCTTTCCATTCAATCCAAAACTCCGGAAATTGCGGTTGGTACATCAAATGGAACGGACCATTTTGGTTTGTTCAGACCGGAATATTCGGGACCAGTCATGAAGGTGGTCCACTTTGACCTGTCTGATAATTTCGTTTGATCGGACCGAAATGTCCCTTTCCATTTGACAAAAATGATGGCCTTAGGCATATCCCGATTGCGCACGAAAATTCGCCAAAAAGTGCTCAAAACATAGCAAAAAACGCTCAAATAGTGCTCGAATTTTTTAAAAAAGGGCTTGAAATTTAGAAATAGTGCTCGAAAGTTGCTGGTAGTTTTTAATTATTTCCTAGCAGATGTTCATAAATTTCTTAGTTTTATCAAAGCTTTAACTCTCGATTTTCTAACAGGTGACCATAGGAGTGAAACACCAATGTTTTTTTTTGAAAAAACTCTTTTTATTCAGATATAAACCCAAGATCGACCCAGTCAATCTCTTCAACCGTAAAGTCAGCATATTTTCTAAAGCACTCCCCCAGCAACACAGAACCGTATGGAGTTTAACGTATCACCGTATAGCTACAACTGTTAGTAGTCTCTTTTCGATCTATTATATCGAAGCATCACACGAACCAATCAAAATCGACTGTTCCCGGTTAAAAGAATAATTGTGCATTTTCATGACAACAGTCAAGCGACAAGGTGGAATTATTCAAATTCATGATAATAGAATTACTCGGTTTACTGAAAACGTTTCGCACACAAAATATTGCATTAAACATGCGAAAAACTGTAAAGAAAAAAAAAAGTGCTTAAATGTTGCCCAACAAGCGAAAAAAATGCTCAAATTGTGCTCAAAACTCAAGAAAGCGCTCACGAGTGTTGGAAATGTTAAATAGTGCTCCAAAAAGTGCCGAAATGGTGCCCAGCACAATCAGGACATGCTTAGTTAGCCCCAGTACCGCTCTTTTGTATCCTGCTTTCAAAAATAATAACCAAAAGCTCGGTGGCTTGGGTCGGGTATGTGCAACCGGAATGAACCGTTCCATCGGGCTCGTAGAATTTCTAAAATTGCAAGCCGGAATTTTTGTTGAATGGAAAGCGCCCAAATCTCATAATTATGTAAATTACTGTCGACATTGAATTTCTAATTCATTTCGTTCTGTCGAACGTATGTACAAGCGCGTAGTGCAGTTAATTTGCTGCCTCAGACGACGAATTAAAGGCACGACTCCCTTAGAGTAACGTACAATTGAGACTTGCGATTGCAGTTCAGCTCAGTTTCCATAAGGGAGGTCGTCTCAGAGCCGACTTCAATATCAATTATTAGGTGAACTATGCGAAGGACTAGTTTACTCGATCAAATACATTGAGGGCAACATGGCTCTAATTCTTTGCATCAATGTGACAATTCTAGCCGTTGACAGCGCAAGGTAATCAACTGTTAAGTGTTAAAACATATTAAACACAAAATGCAAAGGAATCCGCATAAAGTTAATATCTTTAAAGGTCAGGCTGCGTCGCGTATGTATTATGCTAATTTTTACGACATATTCTCTGAAGATTTAAATAGTACTGATGCTCAATATTTCATTAAAAATGCGGCCTCGAATATGATGAGTTGTAAAAGAGGGCATACGTACCCCACTGCTCCCTCTTACAAGTTAGATTGGGGTGAAACAAATCCCAAATTGTGAAATTCCTCTCCTTCCCTTTCTTGTTCTAGAATAAGATTAAATGTAACGTAAGATGAAATCTGTAAAGAGCTGATGCTAAATTTATACCAACAACGTGGATTTTTAAATTTTTGTGATCACCTTCTCTTTGAGACAAACTTACCTCGTTTTCTAAACAGTGAGCTGGGAAGTAAAAGCAGTTTCCTTTTCACTTCACAAACAACTCGATCATCTCAGTATGTACAGTATTGAACTCACTTCCGCCTATCCAGCCACATGAAAGTGACAAAGATTGCACTCACTAAAACTTCAAATTCATGTAAGCTTGACGTGAAGCTTAAAGTGATGTGGTGAAAACGATAAAACAGCTTTACTCCCGACGTTACTTCTCAGACTGAGTTGATAAAAATTATTTTTCCCAGAGTTCTAAGCGCCTCGGTCACGCCAGCCTTATAACCCCTCTCTCTTGATGCTTGAAAAGAAGGAAAAGATCAAACTGAGACTTGGTATGTTCCAACATATCCATTTTCAGAAGAAACCGTTAAAAAGACAACAGAAATTTAAATGTAGAAATAACAAACAATTATTGGATAAGGCTAAGTATCAAAATACCATCTGTTTGTATTCACAGCAAAACAACTCAACCTCGTCCCCAGGTCTTCTCGGCTAACTGTCCAGTTTTCTGACTATTATGCTGTAGAATTGACGTTATTTTTCAGATGTCGCAAACTTCTTCCAATTTGGTCAACAGTGGCTGGTTATCATGAATTATTCGTGGGATTTTAGCCAATCATAAAGGGAGAAATATTTTGAGTGAATAATAAGATACCTTATTTAGGAAACATGACATATAACATGTAAATTTCTGTCATTTGTCATTTAACGGTTAGTGAGAATTTCCAGGGGTTCTCCGGGTTCAACGCCCCGGCTTGGTCGCTAATAAGTGCTAGTGACTTCACAGGTGTCCCAAGCTCACGTTACGAGGATGGAATGCAATTAGTCGAGCTTGCTTTAGAAGCAAGACTAAGATGCATTTTTGGGGGAGGTGGGGGGGGGGGGGGGGGGGGGGGGGGGNGTGGTCGAAGAAAAAAAGAATCGTTATGAGCAAAACTTCAGGGAAACTTCGATGGTGAGGCTGACTGATCGGGTGTTGTAAAAACTTTCATTGTATGCAAGTGAGTCATGTGATGAACATGCAGTTATTTCCAGCGACGATTGAAATGACGCGCTATGTTCTTCACGTTTTTGCTCTTTGGCAATGATATATTTTCTCTCGAATCGAGCCTTGATTTTCGTATATCTATACACGCGTATTTAATCAATTCAGAAACAATAAAATCGTCGAAAACTATATAAATAGTAAATATCCTAAAAAGCACTCAACCGTCGATAAAGTAGGATGTCGGAAACTTTTAGCAAGGAAATCCTGTTTCGGTGTAGAATTAGTCTCCTCCTAATTTCCTATTTATTCACCAAGCAAAAAGCTCGACGTAACCCTTTTTAAGAGCGTTCTTGTTTCTTTCTGTAACACTAGCGAGTCGGTATTGCGTTTCAGGCGACCGTTGAGTACACCCCCTGTAACCGACTCCCTCGTGTCAAGGCCTCTTAATTTCTTATTTTATCTCCTTATCTCCATGAAGCAAGCTCCACTTAACGTTTTAGAACGTTCTTGTTTTTTTTTGCTGTGACAAGAGCGAGTTGGTATCGCGTTACAGCCTACCGTTGAGTACACCGACTGTAACCGACTCACTCGTGTCATGGAAAGAAATAACATTCCGGCCTTTTAAGGGAAGCTTAAAACGCATGTGGTAGCCTGCGAACCGGCAGACTAATTTCGGTCATCGCTTCTCGCAAATTCGTCTGGGTTCGCAGGCTATGCCTGTGGTGACTAAATTTGCGTTAGTCTCATCAATTTGATGAGGTAGTCATCTTCGTTCGTATGGCAACAGTTTTAGAAGACCCTCGTCTGCTTGCTTGTAGCAAGTTGATTGAAAACACTAGCTTTTATTCTGAAAAAAAAAGACATGACAACAGTGTTAAAAAGTGAAAAGGTGTCATGTGGACTTTTTTTTCAGCAAATTCCCCTTCCTTTGCTCTACCTTGTTTTCCATTTTTGACAATTTTTTAGTTGCGTTTTTGTATACCCGCTTGCTATGAAAAATTAATGTCGTTAGCCATTCTATTTTAATTTGAAACATAAAAATTTACAGAGGAGAGCTTTAATAAGTACCTTTGGTTTCAAGATGCATGCACTTCAACAAAAAAAGGACATCCGATTAATATCACAGGTAAATTATGTACTATGATGGTTTGACGCTATATGATCATGAGGAAGATTAGATTACTTTCATTTGTGACTTTGCAAAACGCATTTCATTGCTAAAAATACCGGAACAGGCAGCCTAGGTCTATTTAAGGTAACCAAATATGAGCAGCAGAGCCTTGTTTCTTTAAAATGACTCTTGCCATACTCTAAGATCTGTCGCGAAGTATAGCATGAATATTTAACCTAATAGCTTGTTATATAATATCATTCCCGTTCTTATCCCTTTTACACGCTTTACCCACTGACACCCTCAACTTGTTAGCCCCGTTTCTACCACTGTAAAATAAAGAACTTGAGGGAAATACCCGTTTTCGTTATACCGATATGGACAATATGGAAAAATTATCCGCAGCAGGAGCCCATGGGTCATAGGCTCCTGTTCCGTAGCCTACCAAGCATGCAGAAACGGCGCATTTCATTTTATTTATTATACTGGCTGATTATATGATATTTCATGTAATTTGTCATTTATTATGCCGAGGTCTTCCATTGCGCTACGTTACAATTTTCAGTCAGTTTTTCTCCTTAACAAGACCAATTGTGGGCAAAATATTAAGCCATGACTTGATCTGACTTAATGGCTTTACATTGTGATTAAAATAATTATAGCCGAAATCAATAAAAATGCCCGAATATTTTTTTTGTTCAAACTGCCTAGTTGTTACTTTGTTCGATAATAGAGGATGTTAGCATCAACAACGAGTATAGTACGAGAACGACTTCAAGCCGTATTCGTACTCGAAGTCGTTTTCTCAGCTTTCTTTCTTAGCGATGACACCGAGTTCGAGTTTATAGAAAGTACAATTAAGGGATTCCGCTTCGACTGTTGGGATATTTTCGACCAAGTAATGGCAATTTTCGGGGTTATTTCGTGAGCCTGTGAGGCCAGTGGAGAGACATGAAACTTTTCCGGGTAAATGCAAATTTACTCTGTGTAGGAAATATCGCGTTCGGTTGCTTTTCCTCGACTTCAATAGCAGTATTTTACATAAAACATAATATAACGAATGTTCAAGATGATAAAGAGAGGCTAGAAACGAAAAGAAATTGCATTAAACGATCGGAATTTACCTTTGAAAACCAGCTCTTCCCAGTCGTTCTATCCACTTCGAGTTTTTGGTGAGAACTCGTCGTAGTGCAACTTGACAGGACGACTTGAAAACGTGGAGATGCGCAGAACGGATGCGCAATACGCAAAATCGCTGATCTCGTTCTAGAACGCGTACTCGTTGTCGATGCTAACATCCTATAATAAAGGCCGTTCCCCGGGGGGGGGGGTACTAAAAAAAAGTTTTGTACGGGGAGGCTCCGCCCCGAGGTCCAACCCCTCACCCTTTTATGTATCATTTTTGACAGAAAAGGGAACCTCCTTAAATTGACAAATGGTATCCCTTTCACACACCTAGTTTAGAACCGTTGCATTCCGATTAACTGAACGTTTTCACGACTTTTTCACAGCCACAAAATGCATTGCTAGCGCTGTTTAATTTTCGCTTTTTAGCAACTGAAACAACAGCTTTCCTTACCCTTTGACATAATTCAACCAGTGAAATCACTACCCTTTCACACACCTAAGGCCTGAAGGAGCCTCCACGTATAGGCTATTATAGGGAGTACCCCCTCCCCCCCACCAGGGGACTGTTCTATGAAAACAGTGAAAATCTCCTCTGTTAATGACAGTTCTACTTAAACTAATTGTTTGTTTTTAACTGTATAAAGTAAGAATGATTAATTCTTGTCAAACTAGAATCGCCACTACTGTATTTCAGCCGACTTCAGTGTGAAAATTAGTTTCGTTTGAAAAATACTTCCTTTGTTAGCGTACTGACCAACCATGATTGCGTTGGAAATTTCTTTTCAGTATCGTGTATGGCATCAGTAAGGTGCATTCCACTCAACAGGTTGTATAACCACCTGAAATAATAATTCTGACTAGAGATCCTTATTGGAGATGGGCGAGTACGGTTATGTGAAGGGGTACGGTACCAAACAAGAAAATCATCTTCACCCAGAAAATCTGGACGTGGAGGTGGACCACTGTCTCTGTCCTTGATTGTTTGCATTCCATCCCACTCTTCAAACAGGAATAGCTTTGGTTTTCCATCTAGCGAGGGGCATTTATCTCGGCTGAAAAGCGATGTGATTGCCTTGGTCTCATCTTTTGATTCACGGTTCAGGATCACGCACAAAAAACAATCATCACTGGAGAAGTCTCGTCCAGCGGTATCCTTTAGTACTTCTAACACTTCACGCTCTGACAGATTGACTTTTTCCTTGATTCTGAAGCCAAAGTCCTGGCCCAGAAATTGCTTTGCAACATAAGAGAATTGTGAGCTGCGGTTGTTTATCATCAAGAAATAGCCACCGGACACTGATGTGTAGTCTCCTTTTGAAGAAAAACAAGGAAACAGTGTTAAGTTGTGATCTTGGAGAGCTTAGTCAACGACGACGGTGAGGGCCACGAGAACGGCAAGTAAACAAAAGGGTTTCGAATTGATAGATTAGTAAAAAAAACAACAACATCTTCGCACATGCATCATTCTTTTTTCCCGTCACTGCACTATTACGACATGAAAGTCAGCGTAGTTTCACGTTTCGTGGAAGACGTGAACACAAGTCAAGACAACAACTCTCTTTTCCTGAACTTCGATGCATTCTATTAATTAGAATTTATGCAACTCCCGAAACATTTGCAAACATTTGACGACGTTGAACAAGATGAAATAAGCGCGATAAAGTTTTGATTAAGCTCCCTCTTTGCTCAGGATGTGCCTGTTATCTACCTTAATAATAATATTATTATTACAATTATAACTGTTTGGTGGTATTATTATAAATCTTTATAATTACCCGATTTGTGAATGAAAAGGTCTTTGCATAACATGTACTCGTCCTCTGAAATGATGGTCTTCAGTTTCACTTCACTTAGGTTAAGCTCTTTCAGAACTTCATCCGTGACAAGGGTATCTTGGACCACTTCACTGAGATGTCCTCTGCGGTAATCCTTCCAAAGAGCCTCAAGGACTTCTAATGAACTGCAGGAAACTGTTATGATCAAACTACCTTGTCTGAATCCTTGAACAACAACACCAAGCTTTGTTTTCAAATATTCTAGCAATATTTCTAGGGGTTTCTTAAATGCACAGACAACGTCCCAGAAATCAATAGCTTTTGGACGATTCTGCAGGCTCGTCTGTAGTTCCGTGCATGTAGATGGACTTGCTGTGGTACTTCCTTCTTCTTGCACTAGAGGCTGCTCTGGGGGTATAGGTATACACACACGATTTTCTTGACTTGTCTGTGGGTCAGGGGTGGTAGTTGGTCCTGCTGAGAAACCTTCTTCTTGTGCACGTGAGTGCTGCGAGGGTGTAGGAACATTCACACTTTTAGATGGCAGTCGGGCAAATTCTACCGGTCGGTCAGTTGGTGATGGACCTAATGATTCAATAAAGGTGTGAAGGCTCAATTTGATTTCTTCCAACTCGCATCGAAACTAGCAGGTATTCTGCTCCACTTTTTCATTTAGCTTTTCGATCTCGTCTTTTATCTCCATATCATTTTTGTACCATAACCGAAGTTCTGAAACGTATTCCTTTGCATCTGGTGTTAGTGGACCACGGGAAAGGTTTTCGATGGACTTCTTCCACTCATCTCTCTTTGCGCTACTTATCCTGCCAGCAATTCTCAATAGGGCCTCACTGATTTCTATCCAAAGCTTCTCAAAATCAGCGTTTGTTATCTCCATGCTGTGGTTGTGACCATAAATTGTGTTACGATAAAACTTAATTCTAACCACGTCTGCCTCGCGGCTGTAATCAGTGCTGTTGGGTAAGTTGTCCCATCCGGTGGAAGGGGTAAGGTTGCATATTTCTCGAAGCAGTTTACATAGGTAAGGTGATGTCAAAGTCGGACGACTTTCCATAAGCTCCTGACGGTGGGTTGTAAAGGCACTCCCATTCGGGGTAGGTAAGGACTCTATTTCTTCTCAGTGTTTGCAGCTTTGACTTTATGGTATGGTTACCAAGTACAGCTGGAAGGTTGGCTGGCGGATGGATAGCGTCAAACACTTCTCTTAAGAGTGCGAGCCCTCCACGCATCAGAAGCCTTGTCAACCGCTGAAAATTTGCATTTTCATCTGTTGTACGTAACGCTTCATCTGCAGTAGATTGTGATGTACCTGTAGCCATTTCTATGCCAATACCATAGGTGACACTAAGAGAAAAAGTAGCAGATCGTACATGTCACTTTAACCCTGGGTTAAGGAGCAGCAAAGTTGAAGATAACTGAGTAAAAAAAAATATCCTATAGCGAAAACTCTTTGCACAGCAAAAAAACAAAAAAACAAAACAAAACAAAACGTTACACCTGAGTATGAAAGTGTGCAGAACATGCATGTTAAGGGCTTTTTGATCCCTCCCTTAGTGAGAACTTATTCCATGGATCATGTCCTTGTGGAACTTTGAAGAACTGACATTGGGTAGAGGTAGAAATTTTTTCAAAGAACAGCTCGGCCACTTCAGAGATGAAGACAAATGATTATGATGTGATTGACTAAAAATTATATAAACTCAGTTGAAAAAATGAGCTTTTTATCGAATGGGGCTGTTCCTGTGCATGACACGAAGAAAATCGTGTTTAATCCCATCCACTCCTTATAGGTCATCAAGTAGCATTAAGCTTCGAATAGCGTCTAGAAGTTTATTTTGGCAGTCTAGGAAAAAAACAATCTTACTGAGCAACTAGTCAACTCTTTAATTTGTTCAGGGAAATAATATCTACATATTAAAAAGGAATGACCATCAAACACACACAGCAGTGTTTTATCACTGATAAAACACGTGCTGAAAACGAGTGCTGTGAGTGTCTTGAATAGCTTCAAAAACGTCCTCGAAGTGTTTCGTTTCAATAGGATTGCTAAACCTTGCATTTCTGTTTTAAAACGTGTTGATTGAGTTTAAATGACAAACAAAAGCAGCCAAAATAACACTGAAAATTTGGTCGATATAGTTATGCATTACATTGGGCGACGTAACTGAAGTACTCGGTTTAAAAGCATCTACTTACCTTCGCTATACGGCTCTCTAAATGAAAGAATTTCCACAGTCAATCCGCATATGAGGGAAAGAATTGCCCTATGTCATGGGACACAGTAGGATAATTTTCACGGAATTGCAAACTGGTAAAAATAACTGGTAAACGGAAGTTACAGTGAGAGCTTTCAATTTGCAAGTACCGACTTACTGCTATTTGCGAGACACATTGAAAGCTAAAGAAGGTTCTGATTTTTTTAACTCAATGAGAAAATTTAGCCATTTGTAGTACAGGAAAATCGATTGTTGAGACATAATCTATTGTAGGTTAGACACCAATACATTAATATCGCCGTGTGTATACGCTAATTACATGTCCAGTTGATGTTCTCGTCTGAGAATGTCTTAAAAGACGGATGCCTATTTTTGCCTTGAAAACAACTGCTGTTCATTCGATCTCGAATACTGACTATGAGTTACGAAAAATTTGTACCTAAGTGTGCCCTCTCATAATCTAATCTGGTGCGAAAACAATTCGCATATCAATTACCTCTCCTTGTTCTTGATATCTACACGGAGCAACTGCGGGGTGAAATCTGTATTAAAAAAAAACATTCAAATTATCGACGACATAGTTTTTTTGTGATCACATATAAATTTTCAAGGCAAACTTACCTCAATTTCTAAATAGTGCACTAGGAAATTTAAGAAGCAAGTTTAATTCTTTTTCACAGCCTCTAGAACATAAACAACCCGGGATCAATAACCACTTCCTCCTTGCCGTACGAATATTAACTAAATATTATTGCGGTCACTAAATCTTGAAATTCCAACCTTCGATTCTAAGTTTGAAGTGAGGCTTAAAACATGCGACTTTTACCCATTATGGTGTGCTAAAATATAGATAAAACAGCTTTACTCCTTAAGTGGGTAAAAATCGCCCAGAATTACCGACCTATTTCCATGTATTTTGTATTTCTCAGAAAGGAAAGGTCCAAAAAGACTGGGAACGAAAAGCGC